TGTTTATATCTTCAGTTGCAGAGCTTTGCTCTTGTTGAAAAGAACATAAATGGAAATTCAAAGCCACCCAAGGAGACCCTATTTCTTTTATTCAGTACAAAGGAAGTAAAAATACTTCTAGTAAAATATATTAAAGCCTAGCTACACACTGAACCCTACTGAGAACTCACATTTATGTCAAAGTGGATAGAGAATTAGATACGATTTTTTCAACAAGAGAATTGGAAAGGTATTTCTGAATACAAAGCCATCATTTTAACAGTGTGGCAGACCACTGGACTTTGTACCTAGGACCTTGCACTGCAGGATTTCCAAGACTTTTCCTCTCACATGGGCTCTGAAGATGATGATTGGCCGCATCTCCAACAGAATTCAAAAACACCATATACAAGTATTCTTTTAGGGGAGAGTATAGGACATTGGGAAAAAGTGCCTGAGCCTGATTTTCCTCCCACACAGAAACAAATCAGGAGTAACACTGCTTAAGTCAGTACTGTTACAAGAGTGTAAAACTTGTGTGAGATATGAATCGGGACCACTATGTTTAAATATATGGAAGGAAGAGATAGTTCAAGTTGAAAAAAGGAATCACATGATCTCCATTTTGAAAACCAACTCAACCAGCTATCCTGATGTAAAATCCTAGCAGAGACATGGCACAGGTAGTTTTTACCTCAATGTAGCTAGTCCAGGTAAATCCTGGCTGGAGGGGGGAGGGTATATATTGATCTCCATTAGCTATACTGAAGTAAAAACTACATATGCCTTGTCTCCACTACCCCTTTCACAAGGAGATAGCTCTCTTGATGTCCACTCTTCCTTTTGCAGCGTACCCAGGCGGATGTCCCCTACACTATGCTCCGACCTTTCTCTGGGTCAAACTTTGCAGTTAACAGGAACAGCTCAGGCCTGGGCTCTCTGCCCAGGCACCTGAACCAGATCTCGGTGAAGGTCAGTTTCAGCTGCACTAGTCGGGCTACCCATTATTTGCTCGCTGCCTAGTGCTGGGGGGCGCAACCCAGCCTGGTGACTGGCACCGTCCTACATAACCCTGCCTGAGGTTTTAATCACTTCGAAGCAGCCCCGGCGTGGTTTCAGGCGCTGTTTGATTGCCCCGCGAGCCCTAGCAGCGGCAGCAGGCACCGGGTAGTGGGTGCGACGGCGGCTCCCTGCACAGGGGGCGGGCTGCGGCCGGGCCAGGGCAGGGTTTGCCTTGAGTGGCTCGGAGGACGCGGGGCGGCCAGGGGCGCAGGAGGAGCCCGGGGGTGAATCTGGGCGCTCCCCCCGTTACCTGCTTTCTGCTGTTTCCCGGGCTGCAGATGGTAAGAGCCGGGCCCCACATGCGCCTCGGTGCCGCCCGCGGGCCGAGTGAGCGCCCGCGGAGCCCGGTCGTACATGCCGGCTGGCCCAGTACCTCGAGACCCAGCGCTGGCCGGCGGCTGCAGTCACCATGGACACCGCGGGGCCCAACACGCCAGGCCGGCCCGAGGAACCCGCCCCG